GGGAGAGGGAGGAGAGAAACATCAATGATGAGAGAGAATCGTTGATTGGCTTCCTCCTGCAGGCCCCTATTGGGGATCCAGCCTACAAGCCAGATATGTGCCCTAACCAGAAATTGAATTGTGACCTCCTGGTTCATATGTTGACACTGAGCCATATTGATTGGGCTCAGCATAGATTTATCATTCTTTCTGTTTCCTATTTCTATTGATTTTGGGTTGTAATCCATTTTAAAAAGTGAACCCTACAAAATAGTAATTCTTTCAGGGATTGCTGCTCAAAAGATATTGTATAAATAAATGAGTCCTTTAACCATTTATATAATTTACTAGAGGCCCGGTGCACAATAATTTGTGCATTCGGGGGGGGGGGGGGGCGAGAGGGGGTTCGTCAGCCTGGCCTGTGCCCTCTTGCAGTCTGGGACACCTCGGGGGATTCCCACCTGCTGGCTTAGGCCTGCTCCCCAGGGGATCAGGCCTAACCTGTCAGTCAGACATCCCTCGGCAGCCCAGAAGTCCTCAGTGGATGTCCACTTGCCAGCGGGGAGCAGGCCTAAAATGTAGTCAGACATCCTTAGTGCTGCTGAGGAGGCAAGAGAGGCTTCTGCCACCACCGCTGTGCTGGCAGCTGCCAGCCTGGCTGTGGCTGAGCAGAGCTCCCCCTGTGGGAGCACACTGATCACCGGGTGGCAGCTCCTGAATTGAGCGTCTGCCCCCTGGTGGTCAGAGTGTGTCATAGTGACCAGTCATTCCAAGTCATTCTGCTGTTAGGGTCAATTTGCACATTACCCTTTTATTATATAGGAGGATAGAGGCCTTGTGCACTGGTGGGGGCCAGCTGGTTTGCCCTGAAGAGTGTCTCAGATCAGGTCGGGGGTCCCGCTGGGGTGCCTGGCCAGCCTGGGTGAGGGGCTGATGGCTGTTTGCAGGCTAGTCAAGCATCCCAGCAGGGACTCTCACACCACGGGGGTGTGGCCAGCCTGGGTGAGGGCTTGGTGGCTGTTTGCAGGCTGGCCACAGCCCCTTCAGGGTGGGGGGGGGTTCCTGCTGGGGTGCCTGGCCAGCCTGGGTGAGGAGCTGAGGGCCGTTTTCAGGCTGGCCATGCACCCCGATGACCCAAGCTCCCAGCCTCTCCTTTTTTTCTTTTTTATTTTTTTCCTGGGATTTATTTATCTTCTATAATTGAAACTTTGTAGCCTTGAGTGGAGCCCAGGTTGGTTGCCCCTGGCAACCCAGGCTCTCAGCCCCTCCTTGAGCAGAGGCCAGGGCGGCTGGAAGCAGGTATCTGGGATTTTATTATATTCTATAATTGAAATTTTGTAGCCCTGAGTGGAGCCCACAGACAGCCAGGGCAGGCAGGAAGCTTGGCTTCCTCCGCTGAGGGCAACCCAAGCCTCCTGCTTGCTCCAGCTCCATGGCCGCCGCCATCTTTGTGATGGAGTGATGGAGGGATGGTTAATTTGCATATTACTCTTTTATTAGATAGGATAAATAAACTAGAAGCTTTCAGGGATAGAATTGGGTGAGCAGGCAGAAGTAGCTCTGAGGGAAGCTGTTGGGTGAAGAGCACTGGGAAGTGGAAGAAGTACAGCTCAGCATTTTATTCCTCTGAACACCCATCACCAACATCAACTTTGTGGCCAAAACTGATTTGTGAACATTTCTCTTCTTAGTTTATAAGAAGCTGTTTTCTACTCCCTATCCTTAAGGTAAAAAGACATAGCTCTTCTTTCAAAAGGAGTGTCTGTCTGTGTAATAGTGATTCAAGTTTGTATTTGATGGCTTCCTATCAGATGAGCCAGTTTTTAACAACTAGCATGTTCAGCCTGTCCAAGTCAAAGTCTGCTCCAATAAGAGTTATTCAATTGCCTTTCCCCATTGCCAACGTTTCTAGATAGCAAGGAGAAAAAAAATATTTAAGATATAATAGTTTGACTCTGACCCATGTGGCTAAGTGGTTAGAGTGTCAACCCATGCACCAAAGGGTTTGTGGGTTTTATTCCCGGTCAAGGGCACATGCCTGGGTTGCAGATTAGATCCCTGCTTCATTAGGGCTCATGTAGGAAACACCAATGAATGTGTCTCTCACATCTCTCTCTCTCTCTCTCTCTCTCTCTCTCTCTCTCTCCCTCTCTCCCCCCCTCTCTCTCCTCTCCTCTCTCCACCCTTCTCTTCCACTCTCTCTAAAAAAATCAATCAAAAAATATCCTCAGGTGAAGATTAACAACAACAAAAAATGTAATAATTTGTTTCTGTGACACTAAAAATTGATGAATAAGGAAAGGATAATCTTTTCCACAGATGTAGGCTGGACATAAAGATCAAAGAGAAAGCAAGAATCAGAGTGATTTTGATCAATTTCTTTATTTAATAAATATTTATTGAGAACCACTCTTTATCAGTACTGTGCTTGTCTTGTCCCCAGGTAATAGTGGAAATACAAGATGCAGATGGTCCTACCATCATCACAGATTAAAATTATTGGGGTGACTTTGGTTAGTAATATTAAATGAGTTTCAGATGTACAAATGTATAATACATCATCTGTGTATTGCATGGTATGCTCACCACCCAAAACCTTGTCTCATTCCATCACATATACTTGACTCTCTGCTCTCTTCAACCTTTTCCCATGCCCCTTTTCCACTGGTAACCACCATACTATTGTCTGTGTCTGTTTTTTAGTTAGTTAGTTAGTTAGTTAGTTAGTTAGTTTTTGGTTAGTTCTCACCCAAGGATTTTTTAGAGAGAGTAGAAGAGGGAAAGGGAGAGGAAGAGAGGGGGAGAGAGGAGAAAGAGAGAGGAAGAGAGAAAGAGAGAGAGAGAGAGAGAGAGAGAGAGAGAGAAGCATTGATGTGAGAGAGACACATTGATTGATTGCCTCTCAC